ACAGAACTAGATTTTCTTGCTTCAGCTGAGCAACATCCTGCCAGGATGTCTAGAGAGAGCAGCACTTTTCAGCTGAAGTAAACTCAGCCTGAGTGAAACCAAGTCACAACAAACTATTGCCACACCGTTTAAATACAAAGGCAAACTAATCAAGGCTGTCAGGGCACTTTAAACAAAATGCAGCTATTAAAATATCTGAAAAAAAAAATTGCTCAGGACAAATGTTCTCCAAGAAGAGATGTTGAAATCCCAGTGAAATTATTGCTCACAGAGTCTCCATATGATTAAAAGCCTATTCTCATATTCTAATATGAATATTCTCACATTCTATTTCAGATAGCTTGGGTTTGATTGTTTTGGTTTTTTTCCTATTCTCTTTGCAGAGTCACAATAGCTCTCCAAATCAAATTAACATCAGCCCCCAATCTTTTGGAAACCATGACTTAGCTTGAAACCCATCACATGCTATACCTCTTAGGTCATAAAAAGTAAGAGGTAAATCCAGGCAAAGGAATTACTCTGAAGCTGAAGGGAATTAGGGGATTAGAGCAGGGAGGCACCTGCTGAGCCTGCAGTGTCCTTGAAGGGCCGTGTCCCCTCTACTTCCCTGGGGACTGGGAGCCAGGCAGTCACTGCAGCACAGCCCTTTAACATCAGCCTCAATAGTAAAAAATGAGTAACTCTGACCCTTCTTTCAGAGGATGGATGTTTCCTCTCCACAAGGTCTGCTGTTACAGAGAACTGTATTCTAGCTATTCACATGCAGAAGAAAGTCTAAAGTACAAATAATTACACAAACAATAATAAAATGTCTGTATTAGTAAGTGCTCATACAATTCTAACACATGTCCATTCTAAGATGTGGTTAAAATAACCATCACTGTGCATGTTTTCCCCTGCAGACCAGACATATTCTCATGAAAAGAAACACAAATGCCACTCAAGAAAACTAACCAACCCCACAGTATCCAGTTTCCTTTATAATGTGAAACTTTCTTCAGCATGCCTGTGGTATTATCCAACAACAGATCACTTAAAATAAGCAGCAATGCAAAATTTTCAGAACTGAAATAAAAAAAAAATTGCTTTGTTCTTCAGCTTTTACCTGAGCCACTTCTGATGAGGACATTTCTCTTACAAACATGCAGAACTAACAGTAGTAAAAAAGGCAAGTTTGATTTAAATGTGAACTACAATTTATACAACAGGTCTGGGGGCAGCACCTTCCATCCAAGCCATTTCTCAAGCAGCTTGAGCACAAGTTTGGGTTTTACATGAAAAATCTCTTAATAGAGTACCTGTTGAGAAGAAACAGCAGAGGAAGCTGAACCAACAGATGATGAAGCAGCAACAGCTGAATGATGAGGTGGAGGGCAAGAGGGAGTTGGGGGCTGAGAATGGGATAAGCCTTTAGTAGGTAGTTTATTCTGTGTAGAGCAGAAACAGGAGAGTTATCCAAGAGACAGTGACATCAACACAGGTTAAGTTCACAGTCATGCATCAAAAAAAACCCAGAAAGGCAACAATGACAGTTCTACTCTTCTCACTACCTCTGCACAGAAAGGGCCCACGGAAATCACCATGGCATCTTCATGGGAAATGATATTATTGTACTGTTTTTTAAATAGAAATATTCACAGTGGGCAGTAAGGTAAGATCATGCTGGGAGAAAGCATAATGAAATCCAGGGAAAAGCAGAGTGCACCAAGTACCACTGCTCACCAGCTCATTAGAAACTGTGAGCCAGCAGTGTGTGCTTAAGCACAAGACAGTTTATTTCAATACATTTCTCTCCTGCTAAAGCACTCCGATTAGCTTTATGACTCAAATTGTTTTACCTCAATTAAACTGGACAATAATATTTAAGAACACTTTTTACTAGTTTCAGTGGCATCCACATTACTTTTCAGATCCACACAGGTTGAAAGAAGTTAAAACCAAAACCATTGCATTTTTTTTTCCCTTCATGAATTCTTATACATCTTCCAATTCAGCAGTTCTTCAGGTGCAAAACTTAAAATTCACCTTCGGAAACTCCATGTATCCAAACATTGAGGCAAGATGTGCTGCTTTCTCTTTAATGTTCTTTTTATGGAATTCCCTATTTGCTATGGTCTGAGCTCTTTTCTGCAGTGACAGCCAGGAGAGGACAGCCAAGAAAAGAAAGAGAGAGATTCCAGTTAAAACCACATCCATCAACAGAACACAGAAGTTTGTAGAAAGACTTCTTATTGTCTTAATACAACCTACAGTCAACAGAGAACAAGCCAACAAAATCACAGTACACAGATTATCACAGGCAGTTAAGAGACAGAAAGGAAAAGAAGTTGCTTGTCACCTGTTTCATCTTTTCCTCCAGGTGCTGAAGACGCTCAAGCACTCCAGAAAGTACAAATGCAGCAGAACAGGCAGATGCGAGATTTTCAGAGGTTTCTGACAGACTGGGCTGGGGATCTGTTTTGGGCACAGTCTTTGTTCTCCTGGCCATATGATCAGAACCATTTAAAGACTGTTTGGGTTCCCTGACCTCGTGCTCACTCCTAGCTACCACCTGAAACTGGGAAACACTGGAAGTGAACAAAACTCTGCTTTCTGCACTGCCATGCAGTAAATGCAGCTTTTAAGGATGCTTCCGAAAGCGCGGCACAGTCATGCACAGAACTGGGAATAAAATGTTCTCACATCACTCTTGGCACACTTCCTACTGCACTTGTGGTGCTTGTGCACATGCACTGAAATCAGTCCTGCACAACTCGTGCAGGCCTTGACATCCTTCTCTAGGTTTGTGAGGTTTTGTGAATCACCTCACACAGCAGCACTGCAGAAGAACATCTTGTTCTAGGGTTTACAGCAAAGGTTTGGGGTTGGGTGTTTTCAGCATCACATCTGCCTGAAACTAAGCTTATAATCAAATTATATTTATGAGGATTTCAGCAGTAGTTCTTGCCATAGTTCTAGATCTAGTCTGACCCAAATCAGTACATACTGTATTTCAGATTTAAGGCATTTTCTGAGGACCTCAGAACACATCTCTGAATTTGAGTTTTCATATAAAATAGCTTCTGACCTGCAGATTTCCACATGCAATACAGATCTCATTTCACTGCAGACTGCTCTTGAAGTGCCACTGCAGGATGTTTATTTCAATTTAAAACTCTGATGTAAAGTGAGTATCAATACTGTTTGAGATGAGATTGCTTTCAGTGAAAGTACTAAGAGACAAATTTAGACTACATTGTCAACATTTTCCCCCCATATATGTGATGCTGCAAAAGAGATTCCAGCAGAAATTCTTATCACAAGTGCTACTTACAGAAATTAAACACCTGGGCATCAGTATCAGTTTTCAATGCTCAAGCTTTTATCTTAGACATTTTTCCCAGGTTTCTCTCTTAGCCTTATCATTACAATAGCCCAAAGCATTGAGTACATGCACAAATTTTCAGGTAGTGCTGTAGTTTCACACGTTAAATGTAGCTGTGTAATTACATTCATACAATTTGGAGCCTAGATGTGCTAACACAGAAACCAACACTTATGTTTTCAGGGTATTTCCACACTTTCAGAGAGTCTTCTCACCTGGCAAAGCAGGTGTAAAATAAATTTCTAATGTGGTGTTCATGATTCTCAGCTGAATGCGTCTGAGAACTCTGCAGATGCCATCCCAATTCCAAATATTGCTTTTTTTCTTGTGTAGCTCTGCAATAACTGCCAGTTCCCAGCAGTAAGAGGAATGCTGTGCTTGCCATGTGTTTCCCACAGGAGCTTCCTACCTGCCTTTTTGGTTGAGGTGGGAGAAGGCTTGGATCCATAGGTTTAGCAAAGCGAGGATTGACAGGAGGGTCAGAGGAGAGCAGGGCTGGTCTATCTGTTATCTCCTTGGAAAGCATTTTTAAAATTGCAGAGACAGAGTGGAGGAGAGAAAAAAAGAAAGACAGTAAATAGGATTCAAAGAATTTCTGAGGCAGAAAGAAGTAAAAGCTGCTCTTAAAGACACATTACTATGAAGCTTAACATTTTGCAGATTTTTCTGCCCACCCATTTTATTAGCAACTCCTACCATCAAAGATATATCTAAAGTTGAACACATTCAGTACTTTTTACCAGAGTTTATGATCAAAATAACTTCCTTCAGCATGGCCAAGGAAATCTCTGGACACTTAGCACACACAGAAAGCTCAGGGCATTGACAAGTAGCCAGGTAGTGTGCAAACAACTTTGGTTCAAGGACAGAGAAAGTCACTGGACATCTAAAAGCCTACACTACTGGAAGACCTAAATATTTAAATAAACAGACGGATACAAGGACAAAGAATTTAAAAAGCCACCATCTTTGTCAAAACACCCACACCTTGCTCATCCTTTCTTCAGAGCTTTCCAGGGACAGGTCCAAACTCTGCTGATTCCAGCTGTTCCTGGCTGAAGTGTGATTTTCAGCCTCTCATCCCTACCCTGGCAGCATGGGATTGTTTTTAAAACACCTCTAGTCACACCAACAACAAACCATGCAAACGCTGCACGATGCTCAGACGTGTTCCACTCGGCCTAGTTTTGGAATGGAAATGGCAGCCAGACATATCTTGCAAAAGATTACATTTCCTTTTGACACTTCCTACATTTTCCATAAAGACAGACTCCACAGGATATGCAGTGTCCTTTATTTGAAAAATACAGGCAACAACAAGCCTTCTGCAATGCTGTAAGCAGCCAGGTTAGACTTCCAAATAACACAAACTCCACAGACTGACTCACATGAGATTTCTAGACACCAGAACACAAAACAATATGTTATATTTATATGCATTAGTCAATCTATATGAGTTGTGCTCATTTACCAAGTATTGAGAGAAATACTTTTAATTTACATAAAGTATGAAAAAAGACAACCCACTTCAAACATATAACAGACCCCTGTCTTCCCTTGGAAATCTGCACCACCTTCACAAGGAGGGCCCAGAGTTTAATTTCAGACATGACTTTCACTTTCATCTATGACCTACCTGTCTCCGCAGAATTGTATTGGAAGTGTTCTCCTCAAACTTTGCCAGCAGCTGAGTTGCCATGGATTTGACTTTGTTCTGGTTCATTCCTTCTCTGCCATCACTCTGTTCTTTCCCATTGTTTGTCCCCTGGCTTGGAAAGCCTGCAGTCTGCAAAGAAACAACAAATTCTGTTTTTCTTAGGTTTCCTACAGCACTCATGAAGGGAGAGGCAAGAGAGATAACATCCCTATCAGCAAAGGGTGAAAGGAAATACAGTCTGCAGTATACTAAAATGACATGTTTAGCATGCAAAAGTCACCAAAAATATTTTCTGGGTCCCAGAGTACAGTAAAAGGGAACATTAATCAGTCCTGCTATGCATAAAGCAGAGTCACAAAGGTGACTCATCAGAGAAGGGCCAGAAACCAAGCTGCAGTGCAAACTCTTCAAATAAAAAATTGTCTAAAGAGCTGAGTTAGGAAAAGGAAAATAATCCCAATACCTTAAACGTTCTTGTGTCAGAACAAAAACTAGTGCAATTTAGTTAGTGCTCTACTCCCTACCAAATTATTTAAATTAATTTAGCTCTTCTTTAGTGCATGCCACAGTAAATTCAAGGTTTCATGGGAGAGGTGTTTTTTCCTGCCAAGCTTTTTTCCCTCCCACCAGGGAGCTGGACAGGGGTGGGCACCACTGAGCACCCACCTGCTCAAAGACACCAAAGAGTCCTTTCCGACGCCTTTTGTTTGTCTCGTTTTCTTCTGTTTTCCCTTCAGCCTGCAAGGGCAAAGCCAAAACAAGTTCCACGGGTTAGTGCAGCAGTTCCCAGGTTCACCCCAGCAGTTCCTCCCAGGATAACCACTTCCATCCCCAGGCAGGTGAGGTCTGTGCCCTGCCAGCACACCCAGGGGAGCAGTGCCAGCATCGGGGGTCTCACTGCCCCATCACACCCCCAGCTCTGCAGGACTGCCCCTCCTTTTACTGCAGTAAAAGCTGTCCCACAGGCCCTGCCTGGAGCTTTCACTGCACTCCAGGGTGTGAGAACATTGTGCTGGACACAGGCCCTACAGCTTGGGTGTTTATCTTTCCCTCTTGCACTACCGAGGAGTTTATAATTCATAAAGCACTAACTTTCCTTGAAGAAAAAGGTTCTACAGCATGAGTTATTCTGTGAGTTTTCAGCTAGACTGCACTGTTTTCCAGAGAAGTAACAAAATCCAGAAACCCCTCACTCTTTCACTACAGCCCCCAAATCTCTCTTAACCCATCTATCTGCATGCAGATCATGAATTCATGGCACAGTCATACTTCCTTTTTTGAGCAATTACTGGCAGCCTTAAAGGTCTGTCTCCCTCACAAGGTTCACCTCCCTGACTCTGGTTGAACATTACAATACTTAAGCAACCAAATTGCTTCTTTTGTGCTCAAGCTATGCACATATTTCATTATTTTACTCAACTAGAGATTACACAAATCAGTAATACTTCATACTCAATCTGCACAAACTTGAAAAGTAGTCAGTGCTTGGAAATTTTTATCGCTTCTTATAACATTCAGTCATGAAGAATTGATACAGTGATCATTTATGAACAATAAACTACATTCCACTTATTTGCATTTACCCACAATACAACTTAGTGCCTGCTCAGTCAACTTAAAAAAACCCAAAAAGGAATAAAGAGAGAAAGATCAAAGGCTTCATTTTTACATATAGACTGTTTGTAATAAATCACTATGCAGTGAAGATGAGTAATCCCAAACAACTTGTGGGCAAACACCAAAAAAATCAGATAACAATATAAGAATCAGATGACAATATTTCAGTTGCTTTGTCTGCTTTGCTACACTGTCCTTCAAGCAGCAGCTCAGTACAGCCCAGCTCTGCAGTACCTACAGTCATCAGTCCACCCAGAAAGGGTGAACACAGAACAGTACAATGTGCTCTGCATAATAGCCCTGGCCACATAAAAGCAGATTTTGCTTGAGTGAATGGAGCAAGTAAGATGCTCCCTTTCAGAAATCTGACAGAAAGGACTCTCATTAACATGCTGACAAAGAAATGAAGGACAAAGCAATTTAATTGCAGAGCAAGACTCCAAAAGGGCTGCGCCCTGCATTGTGTAAACACCTCCATTCATTTATTAGTCTGGAGCACAGGAAATCTCAGTTCCTCTCCAGCCAGGCTGACACTCAGAGAATGGAAAACATGATCCAGCTCAGCACAGGCTGCCAGAACAGCCACAGCCACCCCAGCTCCAGGCTCTGCTTCCTGGTCCCTTCACAGCCTGTGCTCAGATAAGGATCCCTCCTCCAGCCCAATCCAAGGAACTGCATGCCATGGGAAACTCGGCAGCAACACTCTGCTCTCCTAAAGCCTGGATAGAACATGTGATAGAACAAGTGTACACACTTGGGTAATGCTCAGCACCACTTTTTGCAGGGGAAAGAGCCCTAAAACTGAACCCTAAAACTCAAGTAGCTGCTTTCCAAGGAGCTTCATTTCCCAGCCTGTTTCAGCTGGTTGTGGCACTCCCAAGCCTGTCCTAACCCAAGTACCAACCCAGCTTGCTTGGTTTCACAGCCCATCCAGGACAGAGCTGCAAAAACTCACACAAAATGCCTTGTTTCCCAAGCTGATTTGGGAAATAACACTTCCACTTCTGGTTCCCAACGAGCCTCTGCAGTGTGAAACCACAGGGGCCCTTCCAGCAAATCACCTCGTGCTTTCATGTTCTGCCAAGAACTCCAGCCCCTGCTATGACAGAAGGCTTATTTCATGACAGGAGGTTAATCAGAGGCTCCAGGGCTCAGTAATGGAAAGCTCTCCCCACTGCTAAAAGTCTATTTACTTCTGCAAACAACTCATTGAAAAACAACATTGTGGTCACGATAAAGGTTTTCCTTCTAAAGAAGTCACCCACGAGAAAAAGCAGAGTTTGTTCTGCCTGTTTGGATTCTCACTGCTTGGCTATGTGGGAAGCCATGTCACTTAGTTTTGTGTATATGTGGGTGGCAGGAAAAAATAATTTCCTAACAAGGATATTTGAAGTTACTGGACAATTGACTGTCCACAGATTTTGAAAAAGTGTTTGCAGATGGAAAATATTCAAGACAAAAGTCCATGTAGGAAGTATCTGGAAATTCTGGAGTAATTCTTCAGGTGAAAAAAATAGAAACCACATTTTTACAAGAGAGCAACAAATATAAAAAGCAGTATATTAAAATACTGAGCAATGCAGTAGATGTGTGCATGTGTTAACTCAGGCCTCTGCAAAGCTTCAAGGCTCGTGTTCCTCAATCACAGCATGTATGGGCATGGATATTTTTATAACACAGGGACATAACAGGGCCTGTCAGTAAGTTTTCATTAATAAGTGACCAAGAGAGAAAAGTACATGGGCATGACTAAGAGATTGTTATCCCAGAGCTGCTGATCACCCTGCCCACTGTGTGTCACCATTGCAGGTTTCTCCTGTAAGAGCTGGAAAGCTTCCCTTCAGAACCCTGACAGCATCCACAAACTGTGCAAATCATTGCTTCTTTCAAAACTCAGCACTCCCTCCCAATCAACAGTTTAGCATAGCACTGATTATTTGAGCTGGTATATAATAGAATGGCTGTATATTTAACTCCAGGAATACAGAGCTACAAGACTCCTTTTCTTAAAGGTAGAAATAGCTCAGAAAATTATAGCAGTATATATATAAACCCCTTATTTCTGAGCCTGAAAGTTTATTTTCATCTTTTCAGAAAAAGAAAGATTCACAGGGCAAGTCTTGCTCCACAACTCACCTTTGGTACTCGTTTTCTTGGTAAAGTTAAATTGATATAATTATTAAAGATGAAATTCGATGATTTTGCTGAACCAAGATCATTATTTTCTCCATTTTGCTTCTCAGCAGCATCTGTTGAAAAAACAACTGCTTAGAATATTTACTTAGATTTGTTTCTAAATTATTCTGACCACACCAAAGCCTTCCAGTTGAGTGCTGGTAGCAATTATATATAAGAAATATGGGCAAATAAAAGTAAATATATACAATGTAGGGTGGCTTTTTAAAAAAAAGAAAGAGGAAAACACAAGCACGGCTGTGCTGTGTGCAGTCATCCCTACCAGGGAATCACACCAACAACTTGATATATGACCTCCATGATATCAAGCAGCACTCATCCAGCTGCTCCTCCTCCCTGAAACCACCAAGGACCCACAAAACCTTGGTGTTCCATCAGGCTTTGCCCTTTTCCTGTGAGAAGCCCGAGGTAACTCCTGCAGGCCAGGATGGCTCTTGGCTGCAGAGCAGGGCTCTGGGCAGCCTGGATGAGGATGAGGAGCTGCCCGTCCCCACTGCCAAAGCCCAGGCACTGGGTGCTCACCTACAGCTCGCAGAGGGGTGCCCCGGAACAGCTCGTAGAACTTGGACAGGTAGAGCACCATGCTCAGCTTGTCGGGCTCCCCGGCCGAGCCCAGCTCCCTGCCCGTGGTCACCGGCGGGATCCCGAACTCCTGCTCGGCCACGTCGAACGCCAGCTGGTTGTTCCTGACCACATCGTCCTCCTTGAGAGCCTCGAAGTCACTGCGGGGACAGCACGGGCTTCAGCTGCCTCCCTGCTCCCCCTGGGAACACCACTGCATCCCTGCTCCCCCTGGGAACACCACTGCATCCCTGCTCCCTCTGGGAACACCACTGCATCCCTGCTGCCCCTTCTGGGAACACCACTGCATCCCTGCTGCCCCTTCTGGGAACACCACTGCATCCCTGCT